CGCCCGGGAAGACTCAGCTCAAGGGACTCCTACCCACCCGGCCCGCTGGCCCTGCGGGCGCCGCGCGGGGGGCGGTGCGGAGCGGGGGCAGGGAAGGAGACCACGACTACCTCCCCCGCCCCTACCTTACCCTACCTGCCCTCCCCCTGCCTGCAGTCTGCAGACCTGCCGGGCAGCCCTCCGCCGTTTGTTCCAGCGCAATATCACCGGCAAGCACCTCGACCAAAAGCACCTGCCGCAGAGCTTCGGGACAACAAGCCGCGGCCGCGGAGCCGGGGCTGCTAATGGGCGCCGTACCACGCAGGCCCTGCCCCACCATGACACACGACACTCCGGACCCTCCGGACACGTGCACGCGCTCACCTGAGTGGACCTCTCTGAGGACCTCCGGCGCGGAGCCCATCACAGTCCCAACGCCCCCTCACTGCCATCTGCCACGCCATCGCCATATGGTTCCGCCTTTCGAGGCGATGATGACAAGCGCCCATCGTTGGAAAATCACACCGCGCTGAAATCAAAGTGAGATTCGTGTGTTGGAGACATGAAGACAAAAAGTCTCGCCGCACAAAATGATGAACGTCTCGTCGGTACTAAAACTCATTGGCAGAGGCCCGGGTGAGGCAAGACACTCACCGAAGACTGACACGCGCAGCTCAGAGAACCGAGGCAGAGAAGCTTCATGGCCTTCCCTGCCTTCCAGCCACTGCCTTGTTCCCACGAGGGATAGGTGTCTTCCCATCCCGTTTATGTGATCCAGCTAGGATCCAGGGCGAGGTTGATTTGACCCGCACGCCTGTCTGCATGCGGTGCAGCAGGAGGATATGGCGTTAGCGACTAGGGGTGTAAAGGGAGTAGGGGAGTGGGGAAGTGGGAGCTACTCCCCTCGAGTGCGAGTGGCAGTCTTTTAAGGATAGTTACTATACTTTACCGCATAGAGGCGATCAGGTAGCCTATGCTTACTCATCTTTGGTGAAATCTCTAAACGTGAAGTAACTTTGGAATTGCCACCACCGGTTCGACCTCCTGTGAGCTTGAGAAAAGGAGATGGCTGCGCTTCGATTTCAAACAGCCACCAAAATGGCACGAAAAAGGGGGAACCCTGGCCGGCTTAAATCCGATATGAAATATGAAATCCGCTAGCAATCAATTAACCCATCCACACTTCTATTTAATTTGTGGCTCCAAACATAAGAAATGGCCCGAAATTTGTTTAAATTCTGATTATTTTTTCTTAGCAGGACGAAAATGACTGTTGTATTTCGTAAGGTGGCGCTTCTGAAATAACAAGATCAAAATGAAAACAACAACAACAACAACAAGGACTTCATAACCTTCCATTGAAACGTGTCAGCTCATAACATCACCATTCATTAAATCGTAGTTCATTCAAGATTTAGTGTGGTTCCATCTACCAACTCTCAGCACACTATGCATTTCATAACTGTTCATGGAGAATGGATAGCTGTTTCCAGCGGACCCCGTTTACTCATCTTTGGTGAAATCTCTAAACGTGAAGTAACTTTGGAATTGCCACCGGTTCGACCTCCTGTGAAAGAAAACAAACCACCACCCAAAGTTATACCAGAAGATTCAAAAAACATTTTTCTGGGCCTGCAGTTTTCTCTCTGCGGTAAATGGTTTGCAGCATATTCCTCCGCAAAACAACTTCTGGTATGGGAGACTAATGATTGGACGCTAGCCAGTGAACGTTACATGCCAAAGACGGCTACTAGTATGAAGTTCACCCCTGACAGCCATGCTATAGTTATTGTTGACAAAGCAGGGGACGCTGTGCTATTCTCAATGCAAGAGCTTCAAAAAGAAGGAGAAGTAATTTTGGGACATCTTTCTATGCTTTTAGATGTAATTATTACGGCAAATGGCAAACAAATCTTAACATGTGACCGTGATGAGAAAATAAGAGTTTCTCATTTTCCGAATGCCTACAATATAATATCTTATTGTCTTGGTCACAAAGAATTTGTCTCTTCTATAAGCTTATTGCCTCACAATCCAACTCTTTTGTTGTCTTCATCAGGAGATGGGACCATTCAACTTTGGAATTATAGCCAAGGCACCTCTCTCAACTCATACGATTGTACCTCTGATGTTACAAAATACCTGAAGGCTGATTCCTCCTCTCTTGCCGAGCTGGAAGACGGGAAGCCAAGTTCAATAATTGTTAATAAAATATGTTGTTGTAAAGTAAGTGATGTTACTTCCCTGGTATTTGCACTCTTTTATGGATTCCAGGGTTGTCTTCTATACAGAATCACTCTTGAGAAAATTGAGTTTGTCCAGGCTCTACTTCCTAATCTCAATGTTTTGGATTTGTCTGTCAGAGAAACTGGTGAACTATTGGCACGTCTTGCTAAAACTGATGATAATATTGATGTATTGCAATGCTTTTCATATGACAACACTGCTAAAACTTTAACTCCAACTGTAAGCAGTGAAAGTTTAAATCAGATTGTAATCAAAATTAATGCAGTCTTATGTTCCTCAGATAATCAATGTGTAACCTCAAGTAATGTACCACAGCTGTTAAAAAGGAAATTTGACAATGTCAAAGACTACTACGAGCAGAAAAAAGCACGCATAGGAGAGCAATAGAGACCGAATGTGGGTGTTCTTACAATTTCATTTTCTATGCAATGTACAATATATTCATAAAAATAAATTATCGGACTATACATCAGTACTTATTAATAATCCCAGTTTAAGCTGCTTACAAAATATAAACAATACAAATACAGACATCACTTTAAATAAATGATGAACTCTATGCCAATTTGACTATTCCTAACATAGGATTATATAATATAAGAATATGTTTTGCAAGGTGAGAACACAACAGAGAAGCAAAACCAAAAGGCAGTGTTTGAGTAAATTTGTAATTTTTCTTTAAATGATGCAATTGTATCACCTTTTCTTAGCTTACAGAACCAAGTGAGATAGAACAAACACTTTGTTCCTTCAAAGCAGAAGTATTTAACAAATTCCAGAAATCAAGAAATGCATGATGCTAAGAGTAGAAATATCTTGGTGGAAAAGAAACTTTGGTGAATTAAGATTATTTCAGGCTTACTTGTATCCTGAGGTCAAAGCAGAATCAACTACTAGCACGAAATATATGGACAGGATTCATCATCATACAAACGCTAAAACTACACATACAAGAATATAAAGAATGACAGTCATTCAAATTGTTTATGTTTATATACTGACAGTTTTAAGAAGACATACCGAGCAGTAAAAGGCAGAAATTTGAGAGTATGTAGAAATCTATTTGGAAGCAGATGTTGAAAGTTAGGTATGTGATTGGTTGAATGGCAAATTCAAAGTATAGCACTTGGACTTTAAATTGAATTGAACCAAATAAAATTTGTCTCGCATTCAATCAACAATAATGAAATCAACATTTTTAAGAGCCATATATGGTGGAATATGAAAGGAAATAGAAGTTGGGCCTTTTCAAAACCAAGTAGGTGAGGTGAGCCTGACTCCCGTCCTGCCCCGAGCTGCACGTCGCGCGACGTCCTCCGCTTGCATCAGAGTTGAGTAACGCGGAGAGCGGAGCAGAGCGCGGAGCACCATAGATAGGAGGCACCGCTGCCGGGAGCGCCGCACAAAAAAAGTATATATATACTGCTGCAACACGCTACCGTGAGCCGTGAGAACAAATTAACTGTACAGAGACATTACGCTATCGGGCCGGCCGGCCGGCGATGGTGAGACTCGAGTCGGGACGCGAGGGAGCGGAAGCGACAAGGCGCCGTCCGCCCTGGAAGACTGAATGGAGTCAGCACACGGGGATCAAGAGGAGGGCATACATTGGAGCGACAGAGCGGCGGGGCGAGAGCGGAGGTCCCGGCGCGCCCCGCGAGAGGCTCGGGACTTTCTCCCCTGATACGGCGTCAAGGTCCAGGACCGCGCGGGCGCCGCCAGCAGCTGGCCTGCCCTGCCCGTGAGACATGAGACAATGCGGCGATGAAAGATTTGCAGCGCATATTTGAACCCGGGGCCGCCGATGAGCCTGCTGCCACGTCCCACCGCCCCGGCCGCCGCCCCGCGTCGCCCCCGTGCCGCGCGGCGCAAACGGAGGCAGCGTGACCAAAGAGAGCCCGGCGTACTTTATTACTCTCTCCTGTAATTTTAATACGGCGTCGTGCGGCGGCTGGACCGGCGTGGCGGGGCGTGGCGGGGCGTGGCGGGGCGTGGCGGGTAGGGGTCCGCAGTGCGGGGAATGCGTTGCCGGCCAGCAGATTCTCTCCTCAACATTTTATGATGAGTGGTCTCCTGAAAGAATTTCCTCCAAAATGACAGCAGAACGACGCAAAAGCCGACAGCAGACCGGCTACTCGGCGGCGGCGGGAGGGAAGAGGGGAGCAGGGCCGGGGGGGGAGGGGCCGGTGCAGCCGAGGCAGAGGCTGCCCAACGACCGACGACGGGCGCGTCTTCATTCTCCCCCTCCTCGGAGTTGGCAAGGTATAATTATTGAGTTACGGCTTATGCATGTCATTGGAGTACGGTACCGCACGGCGCGCGGCACGACGTGCTTGGGGCTCCCGCCGGGCTGCCGCGCGCTCCATCGCCTCTCGGTGCCATCCAGCGGGGCCCAGGCCCAGGGGCCCCAGCGAGGCCCGGCCGAGGGGCCCAGCCCGCCTCGATAGCATCGCCTCGCATCAACACAACACGCTGCGGCCAAGAAGAAGAAGAGCCAAGCCCCACCGGCCGCGCCGGCCGCGCCACACCGGCATGTCTGACCGTCCGCCCGTCTTCCTATCCTCCGGGGTCCGGCCGTCCGACCGACGGCGCAACACGGCCCCACCCGTCGGGTGCGCCGGCACCGCGAGCACGCCCGTCCGTACGCCGGCCCCAGCCCGACTGAAATCGAAAAACTCTGGAACAGTCCCCGCGACTTTTCAGCGTGGATACAAAGGCTGCAACAGGTCGGCGACCCCGCCCCGCGACCCGCGGTGCGCGACCCACCGCCACGCCCGCCTTCTCATGTGTCTGCTGCGCAATTCTATACAGAAATTATTCAAAAAAATCAGATTCCGGTTACACGTTAATCATGCAAGCAAAGCTGCGAGAGGAGCGGTCCCGTGAAACAATGGACCAGGAAGGGAGGACCGCACACGGACACCCGGCCCAGCCCGGACCCAGCCCGCGGCCCCAACCTTTCGCTCTCAGATTGTCTCCGCGAGCAAGCGGCCCAGGGCGGAGCAGGGCGGGGCGGGGCGGGGCGGGGCGCATCG